CACACAACTCATGAACCGTTGAGGCGATTCATGAACCATAAACACACAAACGCATCTCATGAGAAAGCGCAACTCGCACACAACAGATTACCTTCAGAACAAACACCTCACTTTCACTCAACGTCAACGAATAGGTGGTAGGTTGTCGTGCAAACCATGTATTGCACTCAACAGGATTTTGCTCGGATTTGGCGCAAAAGTGGTTAATCCAAACCACCTGAAGTTGCAACAAAATGTCGCAGGCGGAGTAACACTGGCGGTGGACGATTATCGACGGTCGGATGAAAGCGACGTCGCAACCACTGTTCAACATTATCTATGTATAACATTTGTTGTATACACGTAGTTGTAATTCTGACAAATAGAAAGTCAAAATGGCTAGGTATAAATTCCCTCTGGTTTGGGTCATAACTCAAAGATTTGTGGTTCATTTTGAGTGAAACCTAGATTTCCTGGACCTCCTTGATGTCCTCTACAAAGGAGCATGTATTTGTTATTTTGGACATAATCATTCATTTTGTCACTTTTGGCTCAACTGAGATTGCTCCTAACACTTGCAATGTCATTTTCTGGGCATCACACACATGTGTTATGTGGTGACCATTTTTTTTTAGGTTTGTTAGTGTTATGCCACTTGTTCCAGCCCCCCGCAACATTCCCAACTCAGTGCACATAGCATAGGTGTGTTTTTCTTTCAAGAAAGTCAGTGCAGAACTGCATGGTGTGATGTTTCAAGTCAAATCACCCATCTCTCTTGGGGAAAATTGTTGACTACTATTGGGATCTAGAGGCTACTAAGCACACCTTTAATTCACACTTAACAGTCCCCACTGGGTCACCTCCAAGGGTCCTTGGGTGCCTGGCAAGGCCAGCCCCTATCCAAGGGTCCGTGTTATGTCGAGGGACACGCTAAGTATGAAAACAATCGCGTGCATTAGAGCATTCCCAAAACTCCTTGGGCAGCGTTGTGACGACGAACTGGTCGTGTGCAGAAAGTTCTCTTCACGTCAATACGATGATAGAGAAAAAAATCCACTCAAAATGATTGATTACAACTGAATACAAGCACGCATTTATATTTTGCCTAGCACACAAGCATAAGAAAGCACAGAGTAGTTGTTTAACTATACTTCAGGACTTCGCCAGGTGCGTCAAGGAAAACGGTTGTCGAAATGCTTCGAAATTTGGCTTGGTTCTCCCCTGTAGAATAACTGTCTTCAAATTTCATGTCTGCCAAATTCCCCTGTTGACTCCCGTCATGAGCGTTTGCGACTTCTCGTGCGCAATCATAAACAATCGTGTGAGATTACCGTTTTCACGAAGTCTCACAGTTGAAAAACGGTTTTCACCGTTTTGTCTCTGTGTTGAAATTGTCGCGTTACGCGCACGACATTTCCAGCGAAGTTACATGTACGCCGAGTCAACGCGGAAATCGGTTTTTCAACCGAAATCCCTGAGCACCCCCTTGACTGCAATCATGCACGACCGATATTTCGGTCGTGCTGTACAGTTCACTGACGTGCGCTGTCCTGCGCGTGGGCGGGGCGATCATTCGCCCTGTCTTGTTGCGATCGTGGGCCTTGCCACGCTCGCAACAGTGCAAGGCCACACGCGCGGGCCTGAGGGCCCACACGCACGATCAGGACCCTACGCGCGGGTCCTGATTTTCCCGCGCAGTTGACCTTGACTGACGCGAAAATTATCTCAGTCAACTTCGTGAACAGTCACGACCCAGCATGAACACACACGAAAAACAGAAAACACAACGAACATGAACGCACATAAATATTCATGAACAACGCACGAACCTCACGGAAATTCACGCATACTTACGACAACTCGCGGAACAACGCCAACGCACATGAAGCCTCGCATTAACACACGGACATTCACGAACACTCACGAACGCAACCTTTCACGGAAACTCACATAACTCATGAACCGTTGAGGCGATTCACGAGCCGTAAACACAGAAACGTAAAGTACATAGATGCGCAACTCACACACAACAAATTACCTTGAGACGAAACACCTCACTTTCACTCAACGTCGACACATACGGTAGGCGGTAGGTTGTCGTGCAAACTATGTATTGCACTCAACAAAAATCAGCTGAATTTGATAGGGGACTCTTCGTGATACGCATTCCTGATCCCCCTATGAAATTCAACTCATTTTCCCAAGGTTTGCTATGGTTTTTGTGCCTTGTTTTGTAGCATTCTGCAGATTTGTGTGCAGAATCCCCTGGAATCAGATTGCAAGTGAAATTACCTACCTCTCCTTGGAAAAACGAGTTGATTTTGATAGGGGAATCGTTTCACAACTATTCCAGACCCCCCTATGAAATTCATCTCATTTCATTAAGGTTTGATATGGTTTTCATGACTTGTTCTTCAGCAGTCTGCAGAATTCTGTGCAGAATTGCGTGGAATCAGGTTGCAGGTGAAATCACCTACCTCTCCTTGGAATGATGATCTGATTTTGATAGGAAACCCTCAGCTCACCTTTTCCAGACCCCCCTATAAATTTCACGTCATTTCATTTAGGTTTGATATGGCTTTCATGACTTGTTCTGCAGCAGTCTGCAGAATTCTGTTCAGAGTTAGTGAAATTGCCAACGTCTCCTTGAGCAAATGAGTTGATTTTGATAGGAGACTCTCATCACACTTATTCCAGATCCCCATACGAAATGCACCTCATTTTCCCAAGGTTTGGTATTGTTTTCATGCCTTTTTTTTGTAGTCTGCAGATTTCTGTGCAGAATTGCCTGGAATCAGATTGCTAGTGAAATCACCAACCTCTCCTTAGGGAAATGAGCTGATTTTGATAGGGGACTATCATCACACCTATTGCAGACCACCCTATGAAATTCACCGCATTTGCTCATGGTTTGCTATGGTTTTCATGCCTTGTTCTGCAGCGGTCTGCAGTTTTCTAAGCAATATTGCCTGGAATCAGGTTTGTAGTGAAATCACCCACTTCTCCTTTGGCAACTGATCTGAATTTGATAGGGGACCCTCATTACCCTTAGTCTAGATCTCCCTATCATTGTCACAAATTTTTATAAAGGTTTGGGTATGCTTTCCTACCTTGTTCTGCAGGGGGGTGCAGAAGTTTGGTGGCAGAATTGTCTGCTTTTGCATTTCTGAGAATATTGAATTATGTCATTCCAAAACAGAATCACAAATAAGGGTTAAGAATTAGAACCAGAGCTACGCTTTGGTGATGCATGTTGTTTTTGTTGTAAGTCACTTGGTTACCTGTGGCTATAGTTGGTAACTGCGAAATATTTAAAACACCAATTTGTACCTAGGACGGTAATCGAAACACTCTCTAGGCCGCACTCGGCCTTCACAGTGACTAGCTAATGTGATGTGGCGAACGGCTCTCTGCAAATATGCGTCAAATGCATTGACGGGAAACATGCAGAGCAGTCGCTTCTACGTAGCAACCTCGGGTCAGCATCTCACACGTCTGAGGATTTTTATTTTTATTTTTTTCAGTGTCGGACCGTGTGCGTGATATACGTGAGCGCAACAGAATTGCGACCACTTGTGCGTTGTCAGACGGTACGATTATGCATGAATTGTAGATAAGGTCGACGTAAGCACGAGCATCATTGGTGGAATAACATTCTGGAAATCCACAGCAAGTTTGTCAGACGGTTGCTTCTGCTCGCAACATTTATTGGTAGAAGAACAAGCTGGAAACCTACGTGGCGAGGGTTGATTTCACGTTCGGGAGCCCATTTTGTTCCACATTCTTGGCATTCTCCTCAGTTTATCCATTCTACTCTAATCTTCTACCCAGCGTTCACTCTCATATTGCTACGTAGGTCAACGACCGTCTTGGATGCCCATTCCTTGGAATTCAGCAGTGGTAGAGTTCTTACCGGTGTGGGCTGACAGTATAACATATGCGTCGATTTCACTCAAAGGTTAGCCATGAGCAGATTATTGACTACAGAGGGTGTGACGTGCGTGTTCGACTCGGAAAGGCATCCTACAACAGCTTGTGCAAGGGCTAAACAGAGTGGAGCAAAGCTCTATTAGCGTACGACCTTCTGTAAGTTTTTTACGGATCTCACATAGAATATCATTAACGCCTCTGCGTTCTTATAGTTTCTGCCGCCACACTTTATTAATGACCCCACGATTCAGTGTCCTCTACGCAGTGAAGTTGCTAAGGACTAGCTTGGTGCAAGGGAGCTTAAGGACGTCAAGATTCTCACTCCTAGCGAGCTCCGACGCTTGAGGCATGAGCAACCACGCAAGGCAACATGCAGAAGGGGTTATTGGTCTCCGCTCGACTATCAGATGGTTATCATACCTCTTCTCTCTGCGTAAGTGATTTATTATGTATTTGATGAGCATTTCAACCACTCCGTACAATCCTTATAAGCATCATATTTCTGTATGACAGAGTCCGTGAGGCCCCCGGCGCATCAATCAGCCTTATGGTTCTATTGAACCCCAAGAATTTGCTGGCCCCCCCACGAGGCGAATACCATACGCGTGTCATTCACTTCGACCCCAAGTCTGCTATTCCTGGCCATCGCCACACCCATTTTGCTATCAACGTTTTTACGTAAGCATTTTTTTTCCCGTTTCTCATACCATATGCCACACGTAGTATACAGCATCTAACTTCCCTTTTGATCCATACAGGTGGCTTGTTGAACAACTAGAGGTCGAGTTCACTAGAGGCGGCGTATATAGTGGCAGGCATATGGGAGAGGTCATCCGCGACATGAAAGTCCAACTCAATGCTTTGGACATCGAAGTTGGAGCGGTATGTTTCATTTATTATGGTTGCTTAAGCTAATCACTGCTTTAAAGGTTACTGTGCGCTAACACGTGACGTGTTTCTATTGTGGTATACTGTAGATCAACAAGGTGCAGGGGTGGTATGAGGTGGGATCGGGCCTGCAAGTGACTCACCTGTTTAGCAAGCTGTCGGACAAATGGGGGGACCTTTTGGCGCTGCAGAACAAAGACAACATGATCAATTTCGGCATAGGTAAAAATAAGGACGAGGTCAGATATATGCTCGTGAGTGGATGCCGTGCTTTTTTCAACCAGTTTGAGGACGATGCTCCTACTGTAGGGAATGAGGCGACTGACGAGGTGGAGACGATGGAGGAAATGGTCGAAGATGCAGAGGCGAACAAAGACGGGAGAGTTAGGAGGATCGAGGGGGTGACGGTGGCGCCAGTGCAGAGAAGTGCACGCGAGGACGAGGGGCGGAGAGACGGAGCCGCGGCAGTAGAAGAAGTGGCACCAACGGTTGCGGAAGTATCCTACTCCCGGAGATCCCGAGCCCCTGGTCCGGGAGAATGGTCGGCTAGAGCAGATGAACGGGTGAGGAATGGAGTCCATCAGCTTAGGTTTTCGGAACGTGTTAGGAGGTCTGCTCGTCATGACACGGAGATGCAGAGAGAAGGGGCGGGGACGTTGGCTGGAAATTTGGCGCAGGAACGAGTAGCGGAGATGCAAACGGAGTTGGCGGAGGTATTCGAGGAAGGCAAGGAGGGTGTAGAAGATCCGCAGCAACCAAGTGAGGTAGAATTGGCAAGGAAACAGTCGGAGAAGGCGGCTTAAGATAATCAGTGCAATCTGCGGACGCGGACCAAGAAGGACGCGGGATACTTGAAAATTCGCTTGCCAAGGGTAAAGCGAAAGGCGGTCGAAGAGGCACGCAGAGCGGGCATCGACAAGCCAGATACGTCCCAAGAGGTGCAGCAAAAGGCGGACGCAGAGGTGCAGAGGATCGCAGAGGCAAATGCACAGAAGAAGGCGGAGGCAAAGGAGCAAAAGATCGGAGAGGCAGAGGTGCAGAATAAGGCGGAGGCAGAGGCGCAAAAGAAGGCGGATGCAGAGGCGCAGAAACGCGCGGACGCAGAGACGCAGAAGAAGGCGGAGGCAGAGGCACACAAACGTGCAGAGGCAAAGGCGCGGAAGAAGGTAGAGGTAGAGGCGCAGCAGAAGACAGATGCAGATGCGCAGAAACTCGCAGAGGCAGTGGCGCAGAAGGGAGAGGCAGAGGCGCAAAAGAAGGCAGAGGCAGAGGCGCGGAAACTAGCAGAGGTAGAGACACAGAAAAAGGCGGAGGCAGAGGCGCAGAAGCACGCAGAGGCAGAGGCATAGAGGATCGCGTAGGCAGATGCACAAAAGAAGGCGGAGGCAGAGGCGCAAAAACTAGCAGAGGCAGAGACGCAGAAGAAGGCGGAGGCAGAGGCGCAGAAGCACGCAGAGGCAGAGGCGCAGAGGATTGCGGAGGCAGATGCGCATAAGAAGGTGGAGGCAAAGGCGCAGAAAATCGTAGAGGTAGAGGCGCAGAAGAAGGCAGTGGCAGAGGCGCAGAAGAAGGCGGATGCAGAGGAGCAGAAGAAGGCGGAGGCACAGGCGCAGAAGAAGGCGGAGGCAGGGGCGCAGAAGAAGGCGGAGGCACAGGCGCAGAAGAAGGCAGATGCAGAGGTGCAGAAGAAGGCGAGGGCAGAGGCGCAGAAGAAGGCGGTTGCAGAGGCGCAGAAACTTGCGGAGGCAGAGGCGGAGAAGAAGGCGGAGGCAGCAGCGCAGAAGGAGGATGCAGAGGCGCAGAAGCTCGCAGAGGAAGGGGCGCAGAATCCAGCAGAGGCAGAGGAGCTGAATACGGTGGGGGAGGGGGCGGGGGAGAGTGAGGAGGCTGGTGTGAGTCGCAGCAAGGGAAATGCGATGGAAACAGAGGAAGATGAAACAGGCGAGGATGTGGTATATCAGTCGGTCCGGATGTTTTTGGGAGGAACTTCGATGCAGGGACCAGAAATTGTGACTGATAGTGCATGGAGAGTGGCAGAAGATGGGGTGCCGAGGGATACAGTGGACCTTCCAAGGTAGAGGCGGGCTGAGCAAATGCAAGAACTTTGTCAGAGAGCTGATGAGACAAATCTCTTGCAGGAGGGGGAGAAGGAGGCATGGGTGGAGGTAGAGTTGGTCGAGGCAGAGGCGGCAATTTGGCAGATGCTGCGGTTCACGAGTACAGTCCTGGTTGAACAAGGTGACGGGTTCATTGAGGGCGAAAGCAGAGATCACGCGTCGTCTGACCCTATTAGCCCGAATGATAACGCAGACATTCTGTAACTTGACGGCCCGCAACAGGAGCATCAGTTGTGACGTCGCCGATCTGACTGTCCATTACTGCCGCGACGCCCTGGCCAACTTGGCAGAGGTCCGCCATGGAAACGAGGAACGGCAGCGGGAAGCACATACAGCGGCCGAGTTTCGCGAGAAGATTGGTTCTACTCTCTCTACCTTGCAGGACAGTATCATAAGCGTGAAAGTTCAGGTTCGCCAATCAGGAGGGGAGATGAAGGAGGGGATGTTAAGGGAGGTGGAAGAGAGGTTGTTAGTGGTTCTGAGAGAGGACAGCGAGCGGCGGAAGAGGGATAGACTCCAGGAGGAAGAGCGGCGGCAGAAGGAGGAGGCAAAGAGGAAGGAAGCAGAGGACTCCGAGCGACTGAAGAAGGTGAAAAGGTGAAACAGCAGGAGGCGGAGCGCCTGCAGAATGAGGAGGCCAATAGGAAGGAAGCTGAGGACGCGGAGAGACGGAAGAAGGAGAAACAGCAAAAGGATGAGCGTAGGCAGAAGGAGATGAAAGAGGGGATGAAGGAGATGAAGGAGGTGATGAAGGAGATGAAGGCGGGTACGAAGGAGATTAAGGATGGGATATTAAAGCAGGTGGTAGAGAGGTTGACAGCGGTTCTGCGAGAGGACTCCGAGCGGCAGAAGAAAGAGAGACAGCAGGAGGCGGATAGGCGGCAGAAGGAGGAGGCGAAGAGGAAGGAAGTAGAGGACGTCGACCGATAGAAGAAGGAGAAACAGCAAGACGAGGACTGGCGAAAAAAGGAAGATGCGCAGAGGAAGGAAGCAAAGGACACCGAGCGTCGGAAGAAGAAGAAACAGCAGGACGAAGAGCAGCGACATAAGGGGATGGAGGAGGGGATGAAGGAGATGAGGGGGGTGGTGAAGGAGATTAAGGCGGGGATTGCGGAGTTTAAGGAGGGGATGCTAAGGGAGGTGGAAAAGAGGATGACAGCGGTTCTGAGAGTGGACTCCGAACAGCAGAGGGAGAAACAGCTGGAGGAGGAGCAGCGGAAGAAGGATGAGGCAAAGAGGATTGAAGCAGAGGATGCAGAGCGGGTGCAGAGGGAGAAAAAGCAGGAGGAGGAGCTGCGGAAGAAGGATAAGGCAAAGAGGATTGAAGCAGAGGACGCAGAGCGGGTGTAGAGGGAGAAACAGCAGGAGGAGGAGCAGCGAGAGGAAGAGGCAAAGAGGAAAGAAGCAGAGGACGCAGAGCGGGTGCACAGGGAGAAACAACAGGAGGAGGAGCAGCGGAAGAAGGATGAGGCGAAGAGGATTGAAGTAGAGGATGCAAAGTGGGTGCAGAGGGAGAAACAGCAGGAGGAGGAGCAGCGGGAGGAGGAGGCGAAGAGGAAAGAAGCAGAGGATGCAAAGCGCAGCAAGAGGAGGAGCAGCGGGAGATGGATAAGGTGACGAGGATTGAAGCAGAGGATGCAGAGCGGGTGCAGAGGGAGAAACAGCAAGAGGAGGAGCGGCGGAAGAAGGATGAGGCGAAGAGGATTGAAGTAGAGGACGCAGAGCGGATGCAGAGGGAGAAATAGCAGGAGGAGGAGCGGCGTTAGGAGGAGGAAGCAAAGAGGAAGGAAGCAGAGGACACGGAGAGGCTGCAGAGGGTGAAACATCAAGAGGAGGAGCGGAAGTAGAAGAAGGCGGAGAGAAAGGAAGCAGAGGATGCCGAGCGGGAGCAGAAGCGCCGATTGGAGGAGGAACGCGTGCGAGAGCAGCGGCGAGCAGAGAAGAGGGCCAGAATAGCGTCCTACGCGAAAGAACAGAGGCTTCTTGAGGCAAAGGTAAAGGCTATGGCCGAAGAGAAGGAGCGTTTGGCGAGGGAGATAGAAGAGGAGGAGTCGACAAGTCAGGGGGAGGGGAGCGGGGAAACAAGGGAGGAGGAGGAAATTACTCAGGGCCTGGGGAGGGTGTGGTTAGAAGAGAGGGGGGAGACAAATGTAGGAGAGGCCGTGGCTATAGTTCTCTGACAGAACTTAGAGGGGTCCAGAAGGCGGCCTAGGGAGGAGGACCGGGAGCCGAGGGGTCATGCGTCTAAGAGACGGCGTGCAGCGGGCATACAGGAGTTGATACCGGTAATCCAAGGGGAAGTTAAAGGGGTGAAGATCGACAAGTGTGATAATAGGAGAAATGCCCAAGTGGACGCTATGGGTAAGACCCTGAGCGTGAGGCTGCCTTTCAGGGGAAGCGGGTTCTCTCATCGAGGCGAGGGAGCACTGCTGAAGTGGACGTCGGAGCAGACGGTCGGCGGCCGGAATAGGAACCTCGGCTCACACAAATCCGTGTGGGAGAGGGGCTACACAGTCGCAATCTGCTGGAAGACCTACTTCCCGCACATTAACATGGTGGCGTATGGTATGAGTCCAAGCCGTTTATCCGCGTGGCGCGAAGACATGCTGTTTGCAACAAGGATTTTGACAGGGGTGTGGAGTGTCCTCAACGAGCTCCACCTCGAGAAACCGGACGGGTGAGTGTGCATGAGATGAAAAAGTTGCATCTTCCAAACACACAGGACATTCTATGGTGCTAATATACCAAAATGGCTGGCTTGTGCAGATTTTCCCTCGTGCAAACCAACACAGTTGAGAGGGAGGCAAAGAGGGATCGCTTCCAGATAGCTTTTTGCGCGGGTGTTGGGATAACGGCATGGCAGAAGAACGTGGGAAGCGTCGACAGAGATAACGGGTATTCTGCTGAAGAACACGCAGTCGGACTAGCAGCTACATTATCGGTAATGTGGGATGCCTCGACGAATGTGGATCGAAGCCAATGGTAGACGGGCGCATCATCTGCTATGCTTGCAACTTCTACCACCATTGCATTTTATGCTGCCCGCGCGGTGTCTACTGCCAGCGCCACTTCTGCTGCCACAGCATTGTCTGCTGAGCCCACAATTTCTGATGTTCCCTCGTCGTTTGCTGTCGGCGACACTTCTGCCATCCCTTCTGCCCTTGCGTCGCTTGCCGCATCAGTTGCTGGCATCGCAATTGAGACAATGAAGTCCGTCCAGAATCAGGCGCACGACAAGGAAGCCTGGATTCCGCCCCTTTCGGATGCGCTACTGGAAGAGCTACCAGAAGATTTGCGAGCGAGCGACGATACTAGGTGGATGACGAGGATGGTGGCGAAGGTGTTGACCTCTTGGTGCCTATGTTGCATGGCATCAAGAGGCCTTCGTGAACACCATGGCGCCAGCCTCGACGTCCTACAGAAGAAATCGGGTAAACGGGACACTACAAGTGGAGCAGAGAAGGAGAAGAAGAGCAAGAAGTCGTCTTCGAAGGGGAAGGGGCTGAAGGGGGAGTCGAGGGAGGAGAACACCAGCACCGGCGGTCAGGAGTGAAGGGGGTAGATGGGTTGTTTGGTGCTTTCCTTTCGACTATTGTAACATAGGTTTTTTTTGTTATGTTTTAACATGTAAAATGATAATTGCTCTTGTATACAAGGGTTTCATATTTGACAGCAAACCTGAACTGGGGTAAAATGATCTCCACACTTACATAGATATTTGGTCAGTAGGCATAAATTCTCGACTGGCAGAAACTGATGGGACATGCATTTGGGGTAAAATGATCTCCACTTACATGCAGAATCACCACCTATACCTAGGGCCGCAGAATACCCACATAATCGTAGCGGCGGCTCATTTCCGCAGATGTATTCCTCGTCGACATAAAATCCGCATAAACTCCTATACATAAGCGCCGATTGGTCTTCGACCTGTAGCCGCTGAAGCTACTCGTATGCATAATCCCTGCAGGTAGAAGATGCCAACCGTAGTGGCTGAACTAGCATGTAGAAACAAAAACCCCTTTTCTGCGCCTAACGCTTCGACGCGGCCGCCTCTGCCTTTCCACCTCCGCCTTCTTCGCCTCTGCAGCTCGCCTTTTCTCCTCTACATAAGATCGATGTCATCGACCCCATCGCATGGCGACACCTAATCGCCTAAGATCAAACCTCTACAATGTTGTATGTGCCGCAAGGAGCTGTAAAGATATGGTAATATATCTGGTATAAATTGATATGATACATTGAATACGAAAAGTGACCAGTGTCTACGGAAACAGTTGCGAGCCTGTTGTAGTATTGTCGAAATGAAAGTCGATGCATAAGATCGATGTCATCGTCCCCATAGCCTAGCGACACGTAATAGCCTGACATCATACTTCTACAATGTTGTAGATTATTGTGAACGCAGAAGAAGAAAACTAAAAAGTTTCTACACAAACAGTAGAATATTTGTAAGGCATATGCCAGAAATGTAGAGAAGTCATTTAATACCTGTACCCCCTAAGCGTTAGGCAATATGCTCATCCCAGACCGAAGAACCTCCCAACCGTAGTGGTCCCCACGTCTCACCCTGAACAAAAACTCCATTTCTGCGCCCAACGTTTCGACGCAGCCGCCCCTCCCCCAAACGCGGGTGGGAGGGTTTGTTTTCCAATCAGACGCGGTCATATAGGGTCACGAACATAAATTTCGGATTTTAAAGATCGCGCAATAACCAATACAAAAGTTTCGAGGCTAAATACCCCTGAAGGGTAATGTGCCATCTAAAAAAAAAGACGTTGAGAATTCCCTGGCATGGCACTCGAGCGATTATCAGTGAATTGTAGAACCATGCGAGCAAATGGTGGCCACATGTGCAACACCAAATCCTTAAACAAGGGTTTGGAGCAAATCTCTTGTAGATCCCCCTTCCCCCTTTCCCCAGATTTCGCGTTTGCCAAGTTCCAACTTCCACCAACGATAGCCCCCCCCATTTCATTTTCGTGTGATTTGCCACCCAAAACTTTTTCTCTAGCCACGTTTTTTGTATACCCTGGCTTTAATGACTTGATCTCCAAAATGCGTTGGGATGTTCATATGGCGCGGCTCGGGAAAAACCCCGCCCACGCCTAGGGATGTACGGGGCGCGGAGCTGTCGCGGGAAGCGTGGGGCGAAGTCGGCCCTCCAGAATCCCACCATTTTTGGACCTTGCGCGGCTCTGCGTGGCTCAGTGAAACCCACCAGACTGCCACCGAAAGCTCCGCGACCCCCCCAAAACCGAAAGATCCCATGTGGTTCTTACGCGCCAATGCATGCGCGACTCGGTGAAAAACGAACGCGATTGGTCGTTAACATCGGCAAGTGGGAAATTGCGTGCATGCAACTGCGTGTTCGCGAGACAAACGGAGTGAGAGGATTGGTTGCGATGTCTAGAAACATGTCGCGAACAAAATTTGCCCAAAGATAGGTTTGGTGAGCGCGTTGGTAGAAGCGGTTTGGAAACACCTGGCGCAGTTTGACAAGCTCCATGATGGCTGACACGTGCAGCAATTTGAACGACCCACACAGGTGTTGCTGTTTGGTCGAGTTGCGAACGCGGAGACGTGACAAGCACGTCTAGGCCTTGACCGGTCATTACTCCGAGCATGCCCACAATTACGCTTTACACTCACTAGTTGCACATTAAGCTCCGCCCTCAACTGACCCATTGTATTCAGCGGGAATCGGGTGTCTAGTGTCGCGGTTAAAGTATGGGCCGCGCTTGAATGTCCGTGAACTCCATGGTCGCGATTCACCTTACGAACCGATAATACACGCGAGAGGAAAATCTTTCAACGTCGGATGTACACGTAGAGACCTCGCATCATGTTGACACGCGCGTTACGTAGGAGTAGGGGCAACCTCGTACAGTGCATGCATACCGTGAATCGCGTCGCGACGCCAATACTTCAAAACTCCCTTAATGCCACAGGCAACACGCCCGTGCCCCAAATCCACAATGCGGAACCAGCTAGCGCTCCCGTGCAAAACATGCCCGCGCTCAATCCCACCTGGAGCACCCCATACATGCAGCCTGTAGTTTTTGGGTCACAAATGCCAGCGTTCCACCCACAGCAACTGGTCAACGGGATTCATCTCACACTGTGGTCACAGATTCCATTTGCTTCAACCTCGTTCGCGTTTCAGACCCAACAGGATGATTAGAACGCGCATGGAGTATTCACGCCTCATCCAGCAACACAGACTGACAGACAACACACCGCGTCCGCGTCCGGGCCCACAAGCCAGCTCTTTGGGATGCCTGTTCGTGGCTACGTCGGGTTGCAATACGCGAATTACGGATTTAGGTACGGGTACATCGGCGTTCAACCAGACCCCTTGGTGCACGCGCCCGCAAATGTCGCGACGCCTCCCGTCGCTCCGGCAACCCCCTTTCCTAACGCGAATCCTCCGGAAAGCCCACCAGCGGTGAAAGCCCCGCCAGAGCCTAGAGATCCATTAGTGGTCGGTGTGGACACACAAGCGCAAACAGATGGCCCAGTATAGATCGCGGTTAAAGAGGGTTTAGGCCTGGCGGTGACTGGTGGAGCGGGGATGAATGCAATTGTGCATGCACATTCGCCTCCAATATGGAACGTGAATTCACTGTTGTCAGGGAACCCGGACGTCCACATTAGCACCCCAGCGCAACCAACTGCTGCGAACGAGACCGTGAGAGGTAGTCAACCACACGCGAACGCGGGGAACGCGGGGAGACGGGCATGTGCGAGAGGGAACGCGGAGAAAGGGACTGGTGCGAGCGGGAACGCGGGGAGAGGGGCTGGTGCGAGAGGGAACATGGGGAGAGGGACTGGTGCGAGAGGGAACGCGGGGAGAGGGAACGCGGGGAGAGGGATAGGTGCGAGAGGGAACGGTGGGAGCGGGAATGGGGGTATTGCGAACGGGGGGAGAGTGCCTGGGGGAACATGCAACGGCAGGAGAAGGAACGGTACTAACGCGAACGGAGGTACCGGGAACCAGCCAGTTAATAGGCCGCGTATAATGAGGCGGAGAGTCGATGTAGTGCCGGACACAGACCGGAATGGGACCGGGGAGGGGGGCGAGGGGCCGAGCGATGAGGATGACGACGACGACGATGATGACGACGACGAGGATGGCGACGGGTGGAACGACGATGACGAAAACTACCTATCGAACTTGTTGTCCGCGCTCAATGAGGACGAGGCGGAAGACAACGACCGGGTGCGGGTACCTCACTCAGCCAACGAGGCACCGATCGCGGATTGGAACAGGCTTGGTGTGGACGACACACCGGCTGCAAAGAGAGAGATGTGTTTGGGAATTCTATACGGTGTGTCAGAGGCCATGTTGAAAAAATACTGCGGTTGGGCCAACGAGTACAAGCGGTTTATGGCGCACGAGTTGCCGAAACTGGACGGGGACAGGTTCGGGGAGGAGGCCACGTTGAAGAAAAATAACCCCAACGAGATTAGGGCCGCGCTCAAACACGTGAGTAATTGCAGTCATTGTACGGATGCACAGGTCACGATGCAGGCCCTGTGCGTAAGCCTTATTGGCTAGTGCGAAGCTGCCTAAGATGGATTTCATGCTGGACACCCGCATCATGTGCTTGAACTGTTCCGGGGTGTACGTGTCCGCGGCCGTGCCGCGATGGCGTTCCATGTGTTCCATGCACATTCAGTACCATGATTTTACGTATGCTAGATGTTGCGGTCGTGATGAACATACAAGTAATTGGTCGCGTTACAAATACTCATGCGATAAAACACTTGTGCCATGACAGTACAAGTGTTTTATCGCATGAGTATTTGTAACGCGACCAATTACTTGTATGTTCATCACGACCGCAACATCTAGCATACGTAAAATCATGGTACTGAATGTGCATGGAACACATGGAACGCCATCGCGGCACGGCCGCGGACACGTATACCCCGGAACAGTTCAAGCACATGATGCGGGTGTCCAGCATGAAATCCATCTTAGGCAGCTTCGCACTAGCCAATAAGGCTTATGCACAGGGCCTGCATCGTGACCTGTGCATCCGTACAATGACTATGCTCGGTCATCACACTTTAGCCCGTGGGTGCACGATCAGAAACCTCCAGCTGCCTGACATAATGATGTGGAACCTTGGAGCTAAATCGGAGACGGATCCGGTAAAGGACGCGTTCATGTTTGTCTGCGCGTGCAGAACAGGCAAGACAAACAATGACTTCTCTCTCAACTACATCGCGGCGGTGCCGCACTTGGACTGGACGCTTTGCGCGGTCGGTGCTACCCTAATGTGGCTGCATTGGGTGTACGACGTGGTTCTCGTCGTGTACGAGGACATAGCCCCCCCTCTATACTTCTCCGAACCCGGCAAGTGGTACGACCAGTACATCTTCTTTCCCCTACGCGCAGGTAACGAGAAGTAGATACCGCCCACGGCTCATCACGTCTGGGCGGCCAACGATCTTGGAGGACGCGGGAATCACATGCTCGCGGGTGGTCCATGCGACCAGGGCGGGAGGTGCGCAGCACGCGTCCGCGGATGGAATGCCCTTAGAACAGCTGGCTAGATTGGGGGGATGGCGCTTCATAGATGTGATGACTAAACACTACCTCACCACAATCCGGAAGGAGGGTGTGCTGCTGGAGGCGGGATTCACAGGGGTGGTCGGTGACTACTATCTGGGTCTCGCAAAGGTCCCGCCCAGCCCGGTGCTGGTGAAGCTACTAAGGGAGCACATCTTCCCATGGGCCGCCCCTGACAAGGGATAGAAACAAGTACGTTTGCGATCGTGATCACCATTTACATTAAACTGCCATCGCATTTCTTACCGCGTCTATTTATTTCGCGAACAGTGCATGGATTACAGCCGGAGGATGGTCCGTGAAAAGACGCTGGAGAAACAGGACACTGCCGGCGTCAACATACTGCGAGAGCTTGACGGCGAGGGTAGGATGGCAGTCGCGATTGACTTGGCCATATATTACATCCACCAGCCGAAGCACCCGTATGTGGTCGGGAACCCGCTATGCCAAAAGCAGGAGTTCGCGGAGTGGGCTGCAGACGTGTCCTTGGCCAATCAGCTGGCCATAGTACATCGCAACACACCTACACTGACGCGTGGCGCGGTGAGTCCAACACTGATCGCGTGATTAGATCGTATGTGCCTCATTGCCCGACCCTCGTCCACATCATCGCGCTATCTATCTATGCAGGAGGTTAGTACCAGGATGCACGCGCAGAATCGGGTGACAGTCCTCACTGAGTACCTGACCCATGCGCAAGCAGACAACACCAGGCTGGGCTTACAGCTGGTCGCGACTCAGAAACGGGTCACTGAGCTTGAAAAGCAGTTGGAGGATCGCGACCAGAAGCTGGCCGCAAAGGATGAGCTTGTGAATGATTTGGAGGCACAGCTTTCGCGTCTCAGCGTGAACAGCTCACGGCCGACCGCGGATCCGTGTTCGGCAATCAATACTAGAACCGCGGCCGACCCCACCAATGCCACAACACCACCGACCTGGGAACGCGAAAGAAACCCGCACCGCCGACCAGGGACGAGACGATTCGGGACGAGATCGTGCTCCCATGGGTCCAAGCGACCAAACCGTCGGACGGATGGAAGCTGTACAAGGCCACGCATCCGCTTATCCTAGAGAGTCCAGAATCGCTACTGGTGAACCGCGGTGCAGGTACGCGATTGACCGAGCTCATTGGAAAAGAAGGAGGCGGCCAGAACGCGATAAATCGTGTCAAGCAAGTCATGGACTTCATCGCCTACAGGGTAGCGCAAGGAGACGACATCGTGGTTGTGCTCCACAAGCTCGACCGTGTGGCAGGAGCTGTAGGCATGTCGGGACTGTCGGAAGGGACCGCGGTGAAGAAGAGTGTGGAGCTAAACCTGAGCCAGCTCAAGAAGGAGTCCTCGGCGGAGGTGCAGTTGTGTGTGAAATGGATGCTTGTTCCGGACCATCTCATAGAAGCCTCTCTTCCCGCATCTGAGTTCACAGTCGCGTGGCCACAGTACTGTGCACTGATGTCTGCCTTGCAATAACTAGATTGGGCCATTTGTTGTTCGCGTTGAGAGTACCGCGTATGGGTGCCATGTTATGAGTACATTGTATCGACCGCGATAGTTGTTTTGCACAACCCTATACTTGGTGCTTCTGAAATGATGTTGTTTTGTTCTCGTTTGTTCAAACACAAGTGACTCCCGATCGCGATCGGGAGTATTCTACACTGCATAAGTATCGCGGTCGCAATGTACTTGGGGTTCTGTTGTCTATCGCGGTAGTGCATGGTGATGAGCAGGCCCGTATGTAACTCCATGGCAGCAGACAAGTCCGCGGCCCACGTTCGGAGCTGCTTGGGGGTCAGGTTAAGGCCGGGGTCCACCTTCAGGTCGTACGGCATCATTGCGACCGCGGTCTTATATTGCAGGTCCTTGCGCTCTCCGTGTCCTAGCCAACGCTTCTTCCCCCCCAAGTGCAGTTCAGAAATCAAGCCTGGTCCACCCCTGGGTGGAGGGCGGATACCACAGCCCCTGCGCTTAGGGCCAGTGTCACCCTGTCCACCCGTTTCGCCAACTGCCACCACCAGGGTGTCGCCGTCTTCCTCGTCCGCGCTTTCCCCGTCGCTATCAACCTCGACCGCGGCCTGTCCGCCCTCGCCACCCTGTTCGCCTCCGTCTCCAGTCGGCCCGACCCACAAATTGCAGAGATTCTCCAGCTCCTCCTCACCGTCCTCGTCGATGGTGTACACTGGAGGAGGAGGCAGCATCTTGGCACCGCAGCCGCGTTTCTTGCTCTTTTGCTCGACCACGGCCGCGCTTGGTCCTGCAGAGGCGCTGGCGCTGTGTCCATGCTGGCCCGTCTGGGCGGGTGCGATCGCCGGATGCTTGGCATCCTGCGACGCCGCGGCCGTCGCGGGCAAAACCTCAAGCTTCACAACCCTCTTTCTAGTTGTAGCCGGCTCCTCCACCTCCGCCTTCCCTTTGCCCTTGCCTGCTGTCGCCGTCGGCATCGCGTTTGCCTGCGCATGGACTGGGGGTTTCGGCGCTGATTCTCCGGCGGGGACAGAGCGCGAGCTCGAACCCGGTGGAGCAGATTGTCCAGCACCCCGCGATGCAGTCCCCCACTTCTGGTGGCGTACCACGGGCGCTGCCTGTGGACCTCTCTGCCTCATTGGCCCCCGCTGGTTCTCTGCCTTCGCACCCGCGGCCCGCTTCCCGTGCTCCGTGTCTCCGGGTTCTGCACCCTCCGTCGCGTGTTGTTCTTCCGCGTCCATGCGCGGCGGCGGGCTCCCGGCAACAAGGGAAATGATCGTGTGCAGTGCGTTGGTGACCCCGCTAGTGGTGATGGCACGCTCTGTTGTGGCCGAGACCGCGGACGACATGTTGTCTATCTTCCGCGAGACCTCGTCTGTCAGCTTCTTCTGAGCACCTTCCATGGAGTCGACCATCACCCCCTGCAACTGTCCCAGCCTCGCATCAACGCGACTGAGAACCAATGCCTCCTGGTTCCGCTGATCCCGAAGTGCAACCCTCTCTAACGCGAGAGCCTTCGACTCCTCCTCCAAGACCAGAGCCGCGTTCTCCATCTGACGCTGCGCTCTCTCGACGGCCGCGGCGAGGTCCTCGTAACTGACGACCGCGACACCACTTTCTCGAGACACAGGGCGCTTCTTCGGCCGGGCAATCTGTTCCGCCTGTGATGCCAGCTTGTGGTCAAGCCGCATAATCTCCTCGGCCAGCTTTGCGGCTGGCAACGCCACCAATGATTTGAACTCCCGGGACTCTTGCCGCCAAACTCACCACTGGGGCCCGTGCTCCCGGCTCCGGGGGCCAAATGCTGCGCAAGATGCCTAAATGCTCTTCCCGGATGTTGTAGGCCTACTGGCAGCCACGGCCGCGACCTCGTCAGCCTCCGCCAACTCCTCGCTCGACTCTTCCCTCTCACGCCTTTCAGTGCGATCAGCCTCGTCCTCCGGTTTCCTCTTGCTCGCGGTATCCACGGCCCCCTTGTCCGCAATGCGGTCAGCCTCAGATGCCGGGTGCCGCTGCTGTATACCACCAGTAAGAGCGAGAACAACGTGGTCGGCAATTTGCGAGCCCGCTGCCTCCTTCTGCACCTTACCCGCTTCATTGCCGCCAGCGTCACTGCCGTGCTTGGGTCGCGTCATATCAACGCTCATGTTGAACGCGAGCTCTTCCGCGGTGCGGAATGCCTCCTGCCGCAGTGCATTCAGACTCTTGGCGTTAGGCTTTTGGGTACTGCGGCCCGGAACCATTGGTAGCCACCTCGTCCAACTGGGTTATAATCTTGTCGAACACGAACATGCAAGCGATGTTGCCGCAGGAGCCCTTCACAGTCGCCGCGTCCTGAAAAAAAAAAAAACAAAAAAAAAATTGCAATGTGAGAGCACGTGTGATGATAGCCGTGGTCGTCAATAACGTGTGCATCACAATCACATACCAGCTTGACCAAACGTGTACGATCCCCTAACTGGCGGGACCTGGTGCACTGGGTGGAGGCATGCGCGAAATTCGCTCGAACGCGACCCTGAAACCACCTGGCCAACCATACAGACATAGCCACGGGAACATTCTAGTTAGGGAGCGGAACGGAACATGAGGTATAAGCAGACACTTGTCCGCGATACTCACTCTGCGATCTTCTCTGTCGCGGTGAGGTGTTCCGCGCCAACAGGTGGGGTAGCAATGCGAACGAACCGAGTGTTGCAAGCCTGGTCACCGTCTAGCGTCAAGTGGTCCGAGCGAAGTAGAAGGAGCATGCACGCGTTCGAGCTCTTCTTGTCGATGATGTTCCTGGACGGAGCAGTGACGACCGTGTTAATCCATGAAATCGAGTGCAGACCCTTTTTAAAAACTCCCAATGAATACTTACTCGGACCACGTGCAGAATGCAACCAGACTGCACTCCATCACACCGGCAAAGGCGTCGACCTCTTCATCGCGACCCGCTACCATGTCCGCGACAACGTTGCTCGTCACGACTTGGACGTGCTCCTGCACCTCCTTTTCCAGAAACCTCTGAACAATAACGCTGTGCGGAAAGTGGTATTGGTGAAATTGTAAAACACTAAATGCACCGCGGGTGTACTATGCGACCTGCACTGCCCATTAGTAAATACTGCGGACATGTCGCGATCACCAAGAACATCGCGACCACAAAATACACGTGCACACTGGAATCAGGGTATGGTTCGACGGGATCTCACCTATTGACAAAGTCGTGTGAAAGAAGCTAAGTGTAGGTAGGCTTAGGAGCCATAGGTTTAGTAGCTTAGTGATCGAGTTCGAGGGTAAGGAGAAGTGGCGAGAAAGTTGAGAGGGGAATGATGTTCACTATAGCACAAGAGTACATATAGCAAACAGAGCATGCAGGGTGCACCACCAACTAGAAAGTTATATGACTACAGTATTCTACACTACAGGCAGTTATAGAACAATATATAGAATTATATATTAGTCTGACACGCCCCCATAAGTGCCTGTAGGGAAGAATGTGCAGTCAACGCCCCCTGAAGGGGTACACCAAGCGCAGGAGAAGGAGAGGGGAAGTGAGGAGGAGGAGGGACTGTGACAGGAGAGGAGATGGGAGGCGACGGCTGAAGCTGCAGACACACGGGCAACAGGAGTCACACTGGCACAGCGGCTACCGGAACAGCGCCCCGGACTACTGGAGTAGCTGGCTCCGCGGCTAAGACGAGCGGCAGGAGCAACGGACCCACGGGCGACTGGCGCAGCTGGCTACGACTGGGCTACCGGAGCAGCGCCCCGGACTACTGGTGCTGCTGACGACACGGCGGCCACCTCCACTCAACCTCCCCCACCTGTCCCACACTCATCACCCCCACACCCGCCACCCCCATACCCACCCCCCCACGGCTGCACCGGGTCCAGGAGCGGCTGCTGCAGTGGCGGCTGCTCCAGGGGCGGCTGCTCCAGGGGCGGCTGCTCCAGGGGCCAGGGGCGGTTCCTGCAGTGGCGGCTTCTCCAGTGGCCAGGGGCGGCTGCTGCAGGGGCGGCTTCTCCAGGGGCCAGGGGCGGCTGCAGGTGCGGCTGCTCCAGGGGCCAGGGGCGTCTGCTGCACTGGCGGCTGCTCCAGAGGCCAGGGGCGGCTGCTGCAGGGGAGGCTGCTCCAGGGGCGGCTGCTGCAGGGGCGGCTGCTCCAGGGGCGGCTGCTGCAGTGGCAGCTGCTCCAGAGGCCATGGGCGGCTGCTGCAGGGGCGGTTGCTCCAGGGGCGGCTGCTGCAGTGACGGCTGCTCCAGGGGCGGCTGGTCCAGGGGCGGCTGCTCCAGGAGCGGCTGCTGCAGTGGCGGCTGCTCCAGGGGCGGCTGCTGTAGTGGCGGCTGCTCCAGGGACGGCTGCTGCAGTGGCGGCTGCTCCAGGGGCGGCTGCAGTTGCAAGGCAGGCCCGCGCGCTGTTGCAAAGCAGGCGCGGGCACAGGGGAGGCAGAGGCGGCGGCCAGGGGGGGGGGGGGGGGGGGGGGGGGGCGCGATGAGCAGGTGACGGGGCCACTAGGGGCGGCAACGGAGCCGCGAGGGGCGGCGACTGGGCCGAGAAGGGCGGCGACGGGGCCGCTAGGGGCGGCAACGGGGCCGATAAGGGCGGCGACGGGGCCGAGAAGGGGCGGCGACAGGGCCGCGAAGGGGCCGCGAGGGGCCGAGAAGGGCGGCGACGGGGCCGCTAGGGGCGGCGACGGGGCCGCTAGGAGTGGCGACAGGGCCGATAGGGGCGGCGACAGGGCCGCGAAGGGTGGCGCGAGGGGCCGTGAGAGGAGCAGCGACGGGGCCGCGAAGAGGCCGTGAGGGGCCGAGAAGGGCGGCGACGGGGCAGGAAGACGCCGCGCGCCCGGGGCGCACGGCGGGCGGAAAACCGCCACGCGCCCCGAGCGCGTGGCGGGAAGAAAAAGGTGTCGCGCGTCACGGGGCGCGCGATAGACAGGAAAGCAGCGGAAGCACGTGGGGCCCACAGGCCAAGAGCGTAGTCGCTCTGATTCCATGTGAAAGAAGTTAAGTGTAGGTAGGCTTAGGAGCCATAGGTTTAGTAGCTTAGTGATCGAGTTCGAGGGTAAGGAGAAGTGGCGAGAAAGTTGAGAGGGGAATGATGTTCACTATAGCACAAGAGTACATATAGCAAACAGAGCATGCAAGGTGCACCACCAACTAGAAAGTTATATGACTACAGTATTCTACACTACAGGCAGTTATAGAACAATATATAGAATTATATATTAGTCTGACAAGTCGAACAAACGAGCCGTGAACGGATGCTTATCTTCGCCAAGCAGCTTCCACTTTTCAGGGGCAAGCTCCACGGTGGCTCCCGCAACAGATATAATAGCCGGACAGGAGGCAACCTCCTTCGACCCAGCTCTCTGCGCCTTCATTTCGCGGTTCATTACTGGTACCACCACAATAGCGCGACCAGAGGTACGGGGTATCTAGGAGGAACCGTCCGTTAAAAATACATGCAATAACAAATAGGAGTTCCTGGTCTAGTATTAAACAAGCGCGAACGCGACCAAGCAGAGTCTCTGCTAGCTCTAGGCGATGAACATCGCTAGGTGGAACGGGCGAGCAGGAAGAAAACAAGATAAGAAGACGGAGAACGAAAATGAGCACCAGAAACCCTTACCGAGAACCTAAGAGGGGGCCGAGGGGGGAAACAAGAAATGGGACTGCGGTCAACCTGCGCGTGCCTGTGAACCCGCGCACCACTTTGGACTTGTCAAGGGGGGAGGTTCCGCTTCATGCACGCTTCTGCACCTCACGTTTGCCACGTTGCACTCCATCCGCGAGCCACGATCGGGGGTGGTTACCAGCTCTCGCGGGGAGTATTTTCCTCATCGCGTCCGCCGAAATCCGAGGTAACGATCCAGAACACCAAACTTGGTCGCCCGAATAAACTCTACACTATTTAAGATTATAGATAAACGCGCACAAGATGATTTCTCCGGTGTGGTTAAAATTATTTCATGGATCATTATAATGGCGAATGGCGTACACTCCGTACTGTAAATTTAAAATCAACATGTTATACACCGGGGATGATTTTTCGCGAGGCTCTTGCGAGAATTTCAACCCTCGTAAACGACGGGGATTGGCCGGCTCCGTGTCGGGCAGCTCGAAGATCGCTTCGCACGCGCGGATTGGCCTGCGAAAGGAATCGCGAGTGGCCTCCGAAGCAGCCTGCGCTCGGAAAACGGCTCCCATTGGCCGAATCCGTTTCGGCCCGCTCGGATTTCCCTTCGCACGCGCGGATTGGCTTGAAGTGCTCCGCGCTCTAGCGCTCTATGGAGCTGTGAAAGTTCGTCGCACGCCCTTCCGCCCCGAACAGTGTTCGACCACCGCCCTTGCCCACAGCTCGCATCTTGGTAACAGCGGCGAGTGCGCTGCGCAGCCATGAGCGGCGGCGGCAACGGCAGCAGCGACGGAGGCGGCGGAGGCGGCGGAGGCGGCGCGGTGAGTGGCGAGGCTTGGCGCGGCGTGTGCAACGTGGGGTTCGCCGTGGAGGAGCTGCACGCGATGAGCTCCAACGACCTCATGGCGCTCGTGCAGCACGCGCTGCGCGATGCGCCACGTCGGACGGATAGCTTGCCACGTCAGACAGATAGCTTGCCACGTCAGCACAAACCGCCGGTGGACTTGCCGCCCATTCGCTTGTGGGACAAGCGCAGCGGCGTGAGCACGCATGTAGGCGCCTCGGCCTTGCCCCTTTCTTTCCTTCCCCCATCGCTTCCTTCCACATCCCTTCCGCTCCAACTTCCTCCATGCTTTTCTTGGCGCCTGACTGTCCCCCCCTGGATTCACTACGAACCCCGCTCCCTTCTGTTAAAACCAGGGTCCCACGTAGATCATTTGTTTTGCAGTTGATGGGAAACCCCCGTTTCCCATTGGTTGACGAGGTTGGAAAAACGAAAAGGGGTGCAGCGAGGGATGCGAAGGGAACAAAATCGTTTGCTGTGATCCAAACCTTCTAGGTATGGAAACAGGTTCGGAGCCGAAGCTAGAGTGCCAGTGAAATGTCAAGAGTTGTCGAAAGTCTCATGTACCTGAAATTTGTTTTGCAATTGGTGCTGAGGCAAAAGTCGGGGAGTGTCGCACGCCTACTTCCCTAGCCAACCAGTCCGCCTCGCCTAGAAAAACAAGGTAACTCAGTCTCAAA